AAGACATTTCTTAGTGCTTTGGAAATTGCATCTACGTACTTGGGCTGGAGATGCCACAGTCAGAAAAAAAACAGTAGCGATGCTATTTTAAAAATTCTGCTGTTCCTTTTTAAAATAGAACACTGAAATGTAAGTTTTCCTATAGCTGTAATCTTTCAGGCTAAGCAAACTCGAGTGATTTCAAAAGCAATGGGAACACGGAGTCACTTGAGGCCAGCCAGGAAAGAATTAACTATTTGTTCTTTCCCAGGAAAACACTGCTTCGTGTTATTATGGTCAAAAAAATTCTGCTTGTAAACTAGAATATAAAATACAAATGTAAATGATATTAAAAATAGAAATTAAAATAAAGCTCATAAGCTTTTTCTTAAAAGACAGCAAAAGGAAAGAAAATACAGCAGCAGTGGTCTCAGTGGTGTGCAAGCAGCACTGACAGATGTTCAGCTGTGTGTTTGCACAGGGCCTTTCAGGAGAGTGGGACTTTGCCAGTGACAACTGTCACTGGGAAGCCAGTGTCAAGGGGAGGCTGATAGGAGCTATGAATGCTTTTCAGCAGCAGGAGGCTGTGAGCCACGCACTCTGCGAGCTTGTCCTGACGCTCCCACCAGCACTGCAGACTCTCAAGCCTTCTCCTGATAACATATGACCCCAATCTTCAGATTTAAAGGGAAAAAGTCACCTTCCAACAGCAGGACTTGCTTGAATACTGAGCATGACTAGGATGGATCCTTGTTTAATGCTTGTTTTGTACCAGACAACCAGTCGATGTTTTATGAGCTGATGTGTTAGGTGATTTTAGGTCATACCTTTTATGCCCATGCCAAATACCACCAAAACATTGAAAAAGACCAGACATATGTACAGAGGATAGCCTGGCCTTTGGGATTTGTTTAGCTGCAGGATGGGCTCACAGCCAGAAGACTCACCTCTGAGCATCACTCATCCCACAGATAAAGTCTCTCAGAGGAGGACTCTGCCTTCATGCATCCTGTCAGCTGAAGCTCAGGGCTGCTGATTTCAACAGACTCAGCTCCCATTTGTCCAGAAGTTGGACATCTTTTGGCAAGTTAAATTAGATTTGATATGAGGAAGAAATGCTTTACTGAGAGGGCGGTGAGGCGCTGGCACAGCTGCCCATGTAAGCTGTGGTGCCCCATCCCTGCAGGCACTCAAGGCCAGACTGGATGGGGCCCTGGGCAGCTGAGCTGCTGGGTGGCAGCCCTGCCCATGGCACGGGGTGGGACTGGGTGGGCTTGGAGGTCCCTTCCAACCCAAACCATTCTATGAAGATTAGTTTTTTTGAAACATTTTAAGTATGGGAATAGCACAGAAAAACAAACAAATCCTAAGTGGCTTCCAAGTTGGTGGAGTAATGATAGCTTGGAACAGGCAGGGCTTGGTCTATGCAGTCTGAGAACCATACTGGGAAGCTGAGATCAACACTTGGGCTTTGAAAGCACCAACCATCTTCTGTTTGTTTGTATCTACATCTATGCTGGGATAAACAGCTCTCGGTAGAAGAAAATGCAGTTTGTTTCAGCATTTCAGCCAAAGGACAGCAACTGCAACAACGAGGCACTCCCTTCCCTACCTTAAAAGCCAACACAAGATCAGTCCTGAGGTTGAAACATCTTCCAGCTGTGCTAATTTGGCAGGTCAGAGCTGCTGCTGGGCCACGTGTTGTGCAATGCTGTGGACATTTTACAGCTTGAGCATTTTTGTCTCATTGATTACAGAATAGAAATGATTTGGGCACACTGTGGTGATGTGGCAAAGCCCTTGTTGAGAAATGAGGCTCTCCATGGTGTAACTGCCGTGTGTGGTCAGTGGGCAGACCAGGCACTGGGAAACCTTTAGTCTCAGGCCATCTGAATAGCTCAGCGGTGCTTTCTGGAACATTTCCAGTTCCTGAGTGGTCAAAAAATGTGTCATATAAATATTTAATGGCATTTTAACTCACATATCCATGAGTGTGCATTGTTTCCAGGAAAAAAACACGAAGATTTGATGTAAAAAAGCTTTGGTGGTATGGAAGTACTGTGAGTGCAGTGAATACTCTGCAGATACAGCTTATAGCAGCTCTGCGTGTTGGTGTTGACAAAACCAGAAGGAGATGTGTCCAACATCCTCAAGATTTCCACACGTTGATCAGGCCCTGAGGAACCCTTGTCAGCAAAACTCTGTTCTTTGGCTTTAGAAATAGTGCCTGCAATATATAAACTATTCTAAAGAGCAATTTTTCAAGGCTAAGCCAAGTGTACATTTATTGCATGATTAAACAATAGTAAAGATAAGTTAGGAAAGAACAATGTGTTTTATTTAGGTAGTGCCACTTGATCAACGCAGGCATGGTTTTCTGATCCTCACAGGGGTCCAAAGCACATGGTGAGTATTTTTTTCACTTTTTACTATCTTGCCATAGTTATACAGCAGTGAAAGTCAGTGTAGTCCCTGATATGCGGACAACTGAGAAACAAGGCACTTCTCAGCATTTAATTCTGCTGTTATGTCTTTGGCAGAGCTGCACCAAGCAATTCTGCCATTTGAGTTCAGTTTTTTCTGCCAGCGATGCTTGACTTCTGTTGTAAAATACTCAGATTATGGAATCATAGATTCACCAAGGTTGGAAAAGACTTCCAAGATCATCCAGTCCAACCATTCATCTATCACCAATATTTCCCACTGACCAATGTCCCTTAGTACAACATCTGAACATTTCCTGAACACATCCATGGATGGTGACTCCACCACCTCCCTGGGCAGCCTGTGCTGCTGCCCTACCACTCTTTCAAAGGAGAAACATCCAACCAGAATACTTTAAAATCCGGGTTTGAAATGTGCAACAGAAAGGCTAATCATTTGTTTGGTACCTTTTACCAGAAAATCTTTCCTGCTTGAAGGGTAAAAAAGTAGTGTCTTCATCCTTGCTTCTTTTCGCTTTTCAAGTACTTCTAAATTTTCATTTGGGGGTTTGGTTCTAAAAACCAACTTAAATATGCCACAGTTATGTTTGTGAATGATCCCCAGCCAACTAGTTCAATGAAATTGCTTAGCATTTTCCAGTATTGCTAAGAGATTTCTTACACTCTTCTCCTAAAATGTGGGTAATGGCTATTTTGCACAGTACAATGCAAAAGGCACAGGGCCAGTGATCAGATAAGAAACACAGAGAGAAAAAAAATGAATACATTTTAAATACCTACAATCTCAGGACACAGAAGATTTAGCTTTAGGATGTGTAGTATCAGAACAACAGCTTGCAGACACATCCTCTAAAATGTTTTGGTGAGAAATGGTGGTTGGACTAGACAATCTTAGAGGCCTGTTCCAATCTTAATGACTCTGTGATTTTAGCTGAAATATGTTTGAAGCAATGTTAACTCTGTGCAGGTGGGCTTGTGGCTTGTTCTGATACTGTCAGTGCTTGAGCTTTAATGGATCTCCCCGTATGCTGGGCCTCATCACCAGTGTCCTTCGGTGGGATATTCAAGTCAGAGCCCCTTCAGTCTCCGTGCTGCAGCCACTCCTTGCTGCCTCCTACTTTGCCTCCGAGTCCCGTGTTTTACTTTCATCCTCCCCGCCGTATCAGCCCCGTGCTTTCTTTGAGAGCGGGCCGGCTACGAGCAGAGCACGAAGACCCGAGCGGAGCGGCGTGGGCGCGGCGTGGGCAGGCACCGCTGGGCGGCAGTGCGGGGCCGGGCCGGGCGCGGAGCAGCGCTCACCCGACTTGAGCGCATCGGAGCGCTGCGTGCCTTTCTTTGGGAGACACCGACGTTGTTAGGAAGCCGTGAGCATCTGTTTGAAAGCCACTAAATATTTCGAGATGAAAATCATCATCATGTGTTCAGGTGATTTCCTTCTACGATAAGGTTACGTGATTGGTGGATGAAAAGAAGGCAAAAAGACCGCTAAGAACATTTATTCCAACCATCAGCCCACCCCACTGACCTCCCACTGACCACCATGACCACTGACCACATCCCTCTGTGCCACATCCACATAACTCTATAACACCTCCAGGAATGGTGACTCCCTCACCTCCCTGGGCAGCCTGTGCCACAGCCTCACCGCTCTGATAAGAAATTTCTTCTAATATGCAACCTGAACTTCCCCTAGAGCAACTTACTGCCATCCCTCTTGTCCTATCACTGTTACCTGGGAGAAGAGGCCGATCTCCACCTCACCACAATCTCCTTTCAGGAGCAGTTGCTGGTGATCTGGAGGCAGGGGCAGAGTGTATCCTCTGCTCCATCAAGTTTGGTGACACGTGAAGCTGGGAAGTGCTGCTGACTCCCTGGAGGGCTGCGAGGCCTTTCAGGGGCATCAAGATACATTGCAGCATTGGACAATCATCAGTGGCACAAAGTGCAGCAAAGGAAAACGCCACGTGCTGAGCCTGGGATGGAGCAGCGCTGCGCTGGGGACAGACTGAGGAGCAGCTCAGCAGGAAGCTGGGGCTGCTGGTGCCAGCAGCTCAGTGTGAGCAGCAGTGTGCCTGGCAGCCAAGAGGGCAAAATGCATTGTGGGGTGCATTAAGCACAGCGCAGGCAGCTGGTCAAAAGAGGTGACTCTCCTGCTATACTTGGTGTGGACTCACTTGGAATATCACGTGCAGTACCGGTCTCCAAAGTTTAAAAAGGATGACAAAGTCATTGAAAGCATCCAGATAAGGGCAACAAAGCAGGGCTGGGAGGCATTTCCTGTGAAATGCCATGGATATCAGGCTGTCCAGTCTGGAAAAGAGGTTGAGAGGCAACCTTGCTGCTCTCTACAGCTCCTAGAGGAGGGGAAGCAGAGAGAGGTGCTGGGCTCTGCTCCTGGAAACCAATGGCAGGAGGGGAAAGGCAGAGAACTCCAGGGAAGGCTACTGGGGAACTGGGGCACTGGGGAACATCTCTTTACCCTTTGGGGGATCAAAGCCTGGAACAGGCTTTCTAGAGAGATGGTTGGTGCCCCATGCCTGTCGGTGTTCAAGGCATTTTGTCAGTGCCCTCACTGTGCTTTAGCTTTTTGAACTGCACGGTGGTTCGATGTGATGATCTTTGAAGACTACACTACACTACTCTGTCCTATCCTATCCTATCCTATCCTATCCTATCCTATCCTATCCCATTCCATTCCATTCTAAAGCCATTATATGTCTTTTTAAAAATCATGCACTTATGTGAACTGGAAATCTTTTGTGGGATTAGGACATCCTTGGTGCTGCTTGCTTATGAGAGCATCCAGTCACCCTCACTCTAGCATTTCCATATGGAGCCGGCCAAGAAGGGCAGCCAGTGGTGATCCAACCTCGTGGCTGCCAAAGATCTCACTGCTGGCATTGGCTGACAATGTCCCATTCCAAGAGCAGTGGATGAAGAGAAGTGGGAAAAGATGAATGGCAGCCCTGCTGTACTGAATGTAGTGCTGGCACTTAATGCCAACTACAGTGACTCATGATTGGTCGAAGCAAACAGAGATCCAGTTTTGTTGTTTAAGAATCTCTTCAACTGGAATCTCTCTCAGGTGAGCTACGGAGGCAGTGAGGCCTCAGGAAGACTTGCTTCATACCCACATGTATGGGCTGAGCAATAGTGCAATGCAATGCAGTGTGCTGCATGCATCTTAATCCACTGAGATGGTTGAAAAAAGCAAGCTATGTCTGGCCACATGGCTGGTGAGAAAGCAGATGCCTCAAAAGGCTCAAACAACAGCTGCTGCTATCAGGCATCCTAAAATTGGAAAACTTGTACCATTAGTATCCTTGAAGTTTCAAACAGCTTACTGAAGAACACTGTGAGCCACTAAATGCCACTTTCAGAAGAACTGGAAGTCTAAGGGATCTCCAGGGACGGAGAAAGAAGGGCACCCTGGAACAGTGTTTTGAAAGGTGTGCAAGAGAGCCCAGGCCATTTCAGGCTATGGACTATTCACCATTATGCTGGCTATGAGCCTATGGATGTTCATAGTCTAACAAGAATGTTGGCCAAAATGCCTGTGTTATTAGATCACAAAATAAAAAGAAATAGAGGCTATTTATGCCAACTGGCATGGATTTACAGAAAGTAGATTATGCTGAGCTAACGTGCTATGAGGAGTAAGAGCTTACTTCATAAAAACAGTTCTGTTCATATAGTAAATGCCTATAAAGCACGAGGCTTTTGTTGTGCACAATTATTTGGCCAAGAAGTTGTAGAAAATTAATTGACTGGATGGTTCAGAAACTGGTTAACCCAATTTTTAATCTGAATGTGACACAATGAGCCATTGACCAGAGGGGTGTTAAGGAGGGGAGCACCATGGGAGTTGTTTACTGGCCAATGCCCATTTTAATTTGTGATACAGAAGAAAACAAAGCCATCATATTGCCACAGACATGAATACCAGAGGAACTGAAATGAAAATAGGTCACTGATGTAATCAGCACTAAACAGAAAGCAAGCATGTGATGTATTAGTTTATTACAGGTAAACATGAAGCTCTATGTCTAGAAACAGAGAATGAATGCCACCGCAGTAAGATGGAAACTAGATTCTGAAGCTCTGGAAATGATTCAGAAAAGAAGGACATAGGAGCTGAACAGAAACTCCCACTGCAAGAGGGACCTAAATGATGATGAAATCTTCAGATATGCAGGCAGAGGAGACAGGAGCTGGGTTAACAGAGAACCTCACCACGATGCTGAAATACTGGGTCTAGTTCTCCTGGGCTCAGGATGTTGTTGAATGACCAGGGGAAAAGTTGGTTTAATCCTGCTGCACAAAACCCAGACAGAGCACATGAGAAGGCACTTCTGATGCTCCAAGGGACTTCACTTATGGCCAAGAAAGTGGTGTAAATTAGGGGCTAGCATGATACAATTTGAGAAAGCAAAGGGTTTTTATTTTATCTGAAAGACTGTTTTCTGAGAAGTATCAGATTTTTTTTCCTGGAACCATTCAATGTACCTGAATTTTGTTCATAGGTGTAACTAAGTACACGTGAAGTCAGGGTCTGCAAATCTTTCCCCTTGGATGGAAATCATGCCCTTTACAATAGTCATCCTAAATATGTAAACCTTTATATATTTCTGAGGTCCAGAATTAATGTTTGAAGATGTTTTTAATTGGAATTCTGAAAATAGCACAGTAAAAGACATTATAAAGTTTGCCCCCCATTTATTTAGTCCCTCTGGCACTCCCAGGAAAGGAGAAGCAGGGAGAAAGGGGTGAGCATGTAACTGAGTAGTGCAACCAGCACTCAGTGCCTGTTACATTGCCTTCCATTCATTCAGGCTTGCTTGTTTTGCTACAGTGGCTCCATACAAGCATCTTGGAAACAAAATCTGTTAAGAATTTGTGCTTTTTCCAAGAGTTTCTTCAACCTCAAGCACCCCTCCCTCCGCCCTCACATTTTGCTGTTGGACTGCTTTCCCACAGAGCAGGTAAAGCCAGTGCTTCTGTGTGTCTGTGTATTTACATCTATGCAAGCCATCCACATCTTCACACTTCATTGTTGTTAGTTTTTTCATGTTAGCTACAACAGCAGAGTTGATATTGCTGGGAAGCTGAAAGCACCTAAAACTGTCCCATCTTCTTTACTGAGGCCGTACACAGTTGCTTACTGAAAGAAGAAAGGGAGAGCACCTACTCCAGCCCCTCTGCTCAGACCAGGGCCGAGCTCTAAATGTGCCCCCGGATGGGGAATCATTGGTCTCTCTGGGCAGCCAGAGGCACTGAAGTCTTTCTTCCCTAGCTTCCTGGTGGAATTTCCCTTCTTGTTCCCCAGCAGGTAAGTGCTTGCAGTAGGAAGGGGAGTGCTCAATCATGATGTGATGAAGGACAAGCTTCTTTGCGGGGAGGTGGCCTCACATTCTTCAGCTTGCTTTTGGTCCAACTCCTTGCTCAGCAACCCCACTCCAGTGAAACCAGATAGGTTGTGAATGGAAGCACTACTCCCAGTCAGCTGGCAGTGAAAAGAACAGGTAGTAGGCCAAAGCATTTGATGAAGCCAGAGAAGACTGTTTCAACCAGTAACAAGTGCTGTGTTTGCCCGTCTCCATTTCTTGTCCATCCACACATGGCAAAAACAATTTCATTAATTTCTGGTTCCCTCCCTTGTAGTATCTCTTGAAGGATTTTATAAGCCACTCCTAGCATCCACTTTCAGCTCTCACTGTCAATAGATTTCCTTCCTGAAACCTTCCACTCACAGTGTACTTTTCTCCTCACCCTCAGTTTTATTTGGAAATCAATACCTTAAAGTCTTGTGATTTTCCAGTTTCCTTCTGCATAACATTCAAGTCCCTGGTGCTGACAATCAGAGCAGATGTAGAGAGGACCCAGACACCAGGAGCAGAGATATCTGGCGACACTAAAAGCAAAGGAAGAAGGAAATACAGACGATTGGGATTACCAATCTGAAAGCAGCCCTTCTGTAGAAGCAGAAGTTTCCTTTATGTGGTTAAATATTTTATTTCAAGTTTATAAATTGATAAATGTCACAAGCAGACATAGTAAGAGACATAGCTGGCTTTTTGTTACTTCAGATGAACAAAAACTCTTGTAAGCAAACTAGAAAACCCAGAGGAATTTGTTTTGCATAACCTGGACCTACCCTTTCTCTGGAGCTGCTGGAACAGAGGCTGCTCTACACAGTAAATACATAATAATTAAATGAATGGAGATTAACTGGTAACGTAATTCTTAATTAGAGTTTTATGTTGGAAATAATCAACAGCATTAATGACTATAGTTTCTGTAGCCATAGGGATTTTCTTTGTCCTTACAGCTGCTTTTAGCAAATTTCTACTCAGCAGTGCAAACAGCCAGATTTCCTTCCCTCCAGATGGCAATAGCAATCTGCTCTCTGTCTCATCAGCAGGAGGTACCAAGAAACCTGTAAAAGAAACCCAATGACCCAATATGTAAATAAGAAAGGATCTGAAACTTCACATTGTAGTCATGAGGATCCCACACTGCCAGAGCCAGGACTGAGGGTTATTCTGGCTGCTGCAGGTGCTCAGATAAACAGATAGAGCAAGTTAGCACAGCAGCCTTCCCTGCTGACAAACCTGAATCTGAATCCCATCGTGGATTGCTGGCAAATTGCACGTGGGGACCCTCCACTGGATGTGCTACTCTGATGACCACAGAAGACAGATGGGAATTAAAAATCTGTACAGTGCATGGCTAGCAAATTTTCCTCACTGACTGCGTGTTTGGTAGCACCGTATATGCTGAATACAGAGAGCTGGTGCATGATACCAACTCTTACAGAACAACCAATTTCCCTGATCCCTAAGTAAAACGTAACTCGGAATTTAAACCCAAATTTTTCTTGTGCATTAAACAAAATTGACATCTCAGGAGAATTACTCATAGGAGAATAACAGGGATAGTAGGAAGATAAAAGCATATGTAATCAATACAAGATTACTCATATACAGATTTATTTCTGCGAATAGGACTGTAGTCATACAGACACTGCAGCATTTAACACTGTGGTTTTTTCTGGTTGAAAAACAAGAGCCAGCCGGGAGCAAGCAGCTAAAACCCTCAGTGCCTGCACACCTGCACAGTGCAGGTTAAGGCAGCTCAATGTGAGGACCCCAGGAGCTCCCCACGGAGGCGTGGTGGCTGCTAGACGTGTTTCTGGAGCTCTGGAGGAAGCTATGGCTATGGGAAAGGCATGTCATGCCCTGCGGCACATGCCTACCTGGCTTTCTGTGCTTGGAGACAACCCAGCCAAGGTGTGTCTGCATTCACACTCATGTAAAACCTCTTAGGAAGTCGGGGAATTTGTAAATATGGGAGTAGGCAGGCTCAGAGATCTGCCTCCAGAAGACTGTGAGAGAGGTCTGCTCCCAAGAGCACCTGTGCCTGTTAGGACACTGTGAACGCCGCACTAGCTCCGCTCAGCAGCTCAGCTTCTCATTGGGATAAGGCCTACTGTGACGTGCATGGAGCCAGTAGGAAACTGGGAGGGAACAGACTGTTAGTTCTGGCAGCTACACAGGTCTGGGAGTTTGCTGTAAGCTACTTTAAGCAGGAATTTTGTCTGTGTAAAGACAGCAGTGACAAAACCAAGCATGGTTGGGCTTGTCCAGCCTCCGCCGCCTCGTCTTAAAAATATTTTCCATCTCAGAAAACCCAAAAAGCTCAAACGCACCTCTGACCTTTTGGCAACAAAACAAAATGAAGTCGCAAACCAAGAGGAAAATGTGATGCCCTGAATAGATAAACTTCCACAGATTATAGGCTGCAGAAAAAAAAAAAAGTCAATCCATTTTTAAAATGCTAACAATGCTTTGCAGTATGAATGTTAACACACAAATACTGTAATTGTGGCATTTTAGGTTTATACCTTTAAAATGCCCAGTTTCCACGCCTTGGCTCCACAATGGATTCAGGGCCATTTTCTACACTTAGTGTTACATTCTTGATAGTTCATGCACCTACAAAGAGCAAATAACTGATTACAGGCAGCAAAAATAAAACGGCAAGTCAGCTCACTGCTATTCTGCATGTAGTTGCAGAGCAAATATCCAACAAGCATTAGCCAGCACCGATGCATTTACTTTGATGAGATTCACTGCTTTTACCAATAAAAACTGCAACAAGTGCTGCAAATTTGGAATTTAAATGAGATTTACCACTGAAACAAACCAAACCATCTAACCAACTCCCCCAAAAAACAAAAACAACAAGACAACAACAAAGCAAGCTTTTGTGAGGTCAGAATTTAACAGCTAATATGAAAGTACTTTTCTCATCTCTGACGAGCAAGCCAGGGGACAGATCTTCAGAGAAGACCTGTGAGTGCTTCTACTGTGTGCATCAGAGAACAACAGTGGGAATGTTTTAGATATGTGCACCATGTGATCAGTGGTATGACAGGAGAATGGCTGCACTCACCTGATAGCTATGTTGTAGAGGTGTGCAGGCTCAGTGTGGTCTTCAAGCTCCCTAGAAGTCAAAGAAGAGAATTGGGGAGAGGGTGTGCATTCCAAAGGTGTTCAATTCAGAACAGGATGAAACCAGAGTTGACAAGTTACTTTCATTGTGTAAGTAAAGACAGATGAGGCTAAAATTTCAAGTGGCTGCAAGTTAGACATCTCTACCTCCTCTCTAAGTAAGCCTTATTTAAAAGGATTATTTCACTCTAGAGAGTAAAATAGAGTTTGATTAGATTATGTGTTTAGCAGTAGAGGAATACTGGTGTCCTATCCGTGTTTTCAAAGACAGGTGAAAACTACTTACATTTCAATCAGCCACATTCTAGTATATCTTTTTTACTACACAGCTTAATTACAAATAAATAAATAAATAAATAAATAATCAGAAATACTCATGAATTTTGAAAATGAATGATAAAAGCAAACTGTATACCAAAAAAAACCCCAAACCATAAAGCCTCTGTAAAGGCTCAGCTATGAGAAATGGTAGCTTACACAGTTTTAACACAAAACTTGATTTTTCACAGTACTTCTCTCAGTCTAAGAAATGGGAAGCCCTTTTGCATTGCCTTATCTGAAACAAAGTTGAATTTTATAAACGATACAGAGAAGCATTGTTACTGAGTCTCTTGTGCAGTACAGGAGCAAAATGCTCTTCCTTTTCAAAGAAAAACTTAAATTTAGGCAGGATAATGCCTTTTACCTTTTGGTGGCACAGTCTGCTGTTAGGTCTATGCTTCTGAGAAAAGGAAAAAGCATCCTACTGTGTCTAGAAGAGTACTGTTGTGAGCCTGTAAACAAGAGTTGATATTGCAATACCAAGTATTTTACAGAAAGCTCTGGAAAAAATGAGAAGTTGGCTGTAATTCCCACTGAGACTGACATTCTAGTGATTAGCTTCAGAGCTTCTATGTAACCACCTTTTTCTTTTTGTGACATGATTATCTCTGAACGTGCTCATTCTGCAAACTCCTATCAAGATCAGGAAGGAACAGTCTTTGTGTGCCACTGGTGCTACAGTGAAACTACCAGGAGAGTTCCGTTCTTGGAAATGTTCAAGGCCAGGATGAACGGGGCTTTGGGCACCCTGATCTAGTGGAAGGTGCCTCTGCTCATGGCAGGTGGCTGGAACTAGATGTTCCTTAAAGCCCTTTTTAATCCTAGATAGATGACATTGGAATTAAAGCAGTGGCTGATCAAGAGACTTGAATTCTGCTCCTAGCTCTGCCCTAAATGGTACCGTTTTTCTGCAGTAAACCCATTTAATTTTATACACTCCAGCTCCCCATCTTCAGCATTGCTTCTGTTTCATCCTAAACATCTGTTTAGATGTCCATTTAGAAGAAGCATTCTTCAGGGAATAGCTAATCTGGATTGTGCCCATTTCATCAGTGCCTCGACTTTAAACATACCCAACAGAACTTTACAGTATCACAACCAGAGAAGGAATAATTCATGACAATAATAAAAGAAAAAGGTATACTAAATCATAAGAGACCATTGTGATTCACACAGAAAAATGAAAGTTACACAGAAGGCTCGATCAGAATTACCCATCAGGATAGTGGGACTTGCTATGGCCCCAACAAAGGTAGTCAAAGCAAAGTTTGCCATCAGTTTTTACATCTGCAAGACTGGGTCTGTGGAATTCAGACACCTTTCTCAGATAAAGCTTAATATCAACAGTTTGGTAGGTTGGATCAAATAAAACCTTCATACTAATATTTCTAGGAAAAAAATTATTGCTTCCAGTATGTGGGACATTCATAGCTCATGAATATCAAAAAAATAAAGCAGAGTTCCCTTTTGTTGCTATTTGTATTTGTTTCATTTCTTGAAACCTGACTTCTGAAGTTGGAAATGTTGAGTCACCAGCAAATGTAACAGGCAAGACAAATATAAAATACAAGCTCTGGTTCAGGATGATCTAAGATGAACAGACTGCTTTCACTAAAAATAAAATATATTGAAAAGTTTGAAAGTTGTTGAAAATTGTTGAGAAGTTTGCACTCATAGCTAGAAAGGGGAGAACTGGCAATTCCTACTAGCCACAATATTAAACATAGTACATTTAACGGGATCTTATTCCTATTGCTCTTTAAACCAGAGATCTCAAGGAAAGTGAAGAGATACTTAAAGGCAGGGGCAAATGAAATCTATTGTGAGGGCTCAAGACTGAAGTATACCTATCAACATCTGGAGTTCCATTGGGCCCCATCAATCCTTGCACAAACTATAACATCATAGTTAGTTCTTAGGCAGTCTTTTCTAACAGAAGTTAGTACAGGTAATGGTGTCCTACTTTGTGACTGTGAACATGTCTAAAACCCAACAATAAATGACGAAGTTGCCTAGTCAGGGATCAGAAAACACTAAGCCAGGTGCCTTTTTGATACTGACTCTTTACATCAGTATTAATTCACATTGCATCCCAAAGTGAGACTCTAATCTCTGTGTGGGCGCATGGCTGCTTGTCAGTAATTCCCAGTGATTGACTCCAGTTTCTCACTGCCTGAAGTTGCACTTTCTTGTTCCCTCAAATGTTCTTTTGTCCTCGCTGCTTGTATGCTTCCCCAACTGTGTGGTCTCTCTTTCACTCAGCAGCTGCTTTGGCATTCTATGTCTTCTATTTCAGTTATGTGAGTGGCTCCACACATTCGTGCTGTGAATATCATTACTTCAAATCCTGAAAGACTTTAGCGTCCCAAAATGTTCTTGTTACAGATTTTATCCCACCATCTGATGTACAATATGGCATGCAGATGGCACAGATGAAACCACCCTACAAGCTGTAAATTTTAACACGCAAAATGGAAAGTCAGAAGAAAACATATAATGAATGTTTCTTCCTTTAAAAAAAGAAGTCCAAATAAAAAAAAAAAAATAATTATTATATGTAAGCAACCAAAAAAAAATCATGCAGTAGTAAAGTAAAAGTAAAATTAAAGTAAAATTAAGCAGGGATTGATTTAGGCATAACTAAGTCGTCTAGGTTAGAATGACAGCATGCTATAGCAGGTATCTTACAAGCACCTTGATACGCTTTCAAATCTCTCATGAGCTTTTTAAAGCAATGATTATATTACTGTCTGAATCTGTCCAGAGTAACATGGCAACATTAGGTTAGAGGGCTGACACTGATATTGCTCAATTTCTTCGTATTTTGAAGCATGTTGATATCTACAACATACAAGTGAACATGCTAGAACAGCAGTCTAAACTCTTTAGCAACGATCAACTTGCAAGTTTCCAGGAAATAAAGTGTACCATTTAGAACCATTTAGAGGCAAAGCTGCAAAGCTTTAGGACTTGGCCTAAAAGCCTGATCTGACTTAGCAGATTCTCTTGAACTCCACTTTGGCTAAAGTTTTAGCCATCTATTGTGAAGGGTCATATTTTAACAACTTTGCAAATACACAGAAACCAGATCGGGCTAATGGAGGCATGTCTTCAGTAACCCACAGCTGAAGCATAGCTCTAAGCAATTCAAGTATGTGAACAGTCCATTACTTAACAGCTACTCTGTTCCTGAGAACTGTAGCATGGGAGCATATGGAAGGTCGTGGGACACGGTTGTAGCCAAAGAAGCTGGCAGAAAAAAAACATGTATACAGAAGTATGTACTCACATGGGTGCATACAAAGCAGTGAGGTACATTTGCGTATATTTGTTGCATGTCAAGGCTTTTCCCTGGCGTGTTTGTTTCAAAGATTGCCTACCAACTTGTCCCAACCTTCGGTCTCCAACATACCTACACAGATGTGCGCATGCATTTCTACAGCCTCAGCTGTTCCTCATCAGTGAAAGGAACCACAAATCAGCTCATTGTAAAAAAGCAGTGCTCAACTCAAGGTAAAACAAAACAGAACCAATAGTGAAAAAAAGCCTCCTTAATGTCTACTAGAGAGTGATTAATAAATAAAAAGGTTAACCTTGTTGAATAATCACAGACATCTACATAATCTGTTAGACAGAAACCCATTGCTTGTTGCTGGAGCATGCAGAAGTAGTGCAGTGCCATGCCATCTCTGAGCAATCTCTACCCTCTCCAAGAGGTAGGGACAGTTTTTTTCTCTACTCCCTTTTGATGTAAAATTCTCATTATTTGTGGTAATGAGGGCACTAGCTATAAAGCTGGAACTCAACATTTCAGCAAGCAAAGACAAAAGAAAAGGATGTGAGAAAATACTGAACACCTGATGCCTCTCAATGTCACACAGCAACAAGTTGCTGGCAAATAAAAACAAAACTACCACTTTCTTTTGTTACTGTGATGTTTATCTTTTCTTCAGCTGTTGAGTCATAAAGGTGAGACGCTGTATAAGCTTTTAATGCTTATGGTCTTGAGGGAAAAAAAAGGTTCAGGAATATACTTTGAAAAGGGGAAAATGAAAAAGAGGAGGTGGTGACTTGCATGGTAGCTTACTCAAAGGTAAAAGGAGGAAAAGGTGAAATCATTTTTCTGCCGTTTTCAATGGCTGTTTACCCTCCGAGTGCCCTGCTGCATTTCCAGCCCCCTACCCACGCTCCAACTAAATCTGACCTTCGTCTTTATGCACACTAGGAGTTCAAACCCCAGTGTGCACAAACTCCACAAAGACTGTCACCCCTTACAGCCTGAAATGTTCCAGAACGTTCTCTGTCCATTGCCTTCAATACACTCAGGTCCTCTCAGCTGTCTGCCTTGCCCTGGCCCTGTTCAGTTTAATCTCCTCACAAGTACGCTCACGGTGCTCTTTTCTGTTCTGCTTCCGGCACCCTCCCAGCTCACTCAGCTCTTCCAGTTCCTACCTTACCACTTGTGAGCTACCTCAATCTCTAACCAACTCCAAAACAAGATGTGAGCTGAACCTTCTGATGATAAACCATGCTCATACCACTGCCTCTCATGAAGGAAATTGCACATTGCCCAGTGCCATCTTCTGCCTTCTCCATCAAGTCCAACTCCTGGCTCCACACAGGGCTGCCCAAAATCTAACCCTATGTCTGAGAGCATGGTCCAAACGCTCCTTGAACTCCAGCACTGTGCCCGCAGCCCTGTGCAGCCCGTCCCATGCCCACCGCCCTGTGCTACAGCACCTGTCCCTCATTCCCAGCTGCCCTCCCCTCACACATCTCCATGCCGTTCCCTCTGGCCCTGCCACTGCCACACAGAGCAGAGCTGAGCGCTGCCCCTCCGCTCCCTGCGAGGAGCTGCAGCCGCCATCAGGCCTCCCCTCAGCTCCGCTGCTCTGAGCACACCCTCAGTCTCCGCCGACCCCCGGTCCCCGCTGTCAGAGCAGCGCAGGAGGGGCGGCACCTGCGGGACCGCCCCCTTCTCCTCCCTCCCTTGCCCTCCTCTCCCCTCCTCTCTTCCCAGTGGAGAGCGAGAGAGACCGAGACCCGCAGGGAGACGGCGGCGGGGCTGCCGAGTGGCGCTGCTCGCAGCGAGGGGGCGGCTTTGGGGAGGGGGGAAAAAAAGAAAAAAAAGTGAGGGAGGTGTGGAAGGAAAGCGTTCAAGTCCCGCTCTCCTTGCCCGGCGAGGTAAGGCAGCGGTTCGGGGCTCCCTTCGCGTTCTCGCCTCTTCTCGGGAAGGGCACAAAGGTAGCGGTGCGGAACTCGGCGCCACTCGCCCCGCCGTCGCTGTCACCGGCGGCTGCCAATGCGCTGCCCCGGGCGGGCTCCGGGCCGGGGACGGCGAGCGGCGTCCGTGGGAGAGCAGCGCTCGGAGCGCCGTGCGCCACAGCCGGCGGAGGTGGGCGGGGTGCGGGGGGGTGCAGGTGGCTCCGGCGGAGGGCGGCGGGCAAGGAGCTCGGCTTGCGGCGTTGCCGCGCGGGCTGCCGCCGGCAGGGGGCTCCCCCCGCTGCGGGAGGCTCGGCTGTGGGCGCGGGGTGCTGCGGAGGGCCGGGCCGGGCCGGCGCGTCTCGGCGCGGGGCTGAGGAGCGGTGCTGAGGGCGCGGTGCCGCTCGGCGGATTTGAGGTGGGAGGCCCGAGCTGCGAGGGCCTGAGCGCAGGAGGGGGAAAAAACCCACCACCAACAAAACGGCTCAAGTAGATATCGCTGCTCGAAAGCAGCTGACAGATTTATTAGCTGCGCCTCCCGCTCTCGGAAGCGTCTGGAAAGCAGTGAGACTTTGCCCTTCCAAACGCTGCTTGGCTCCTTTCTGAAGCGTCCGAAAGGTGAAAACTTTCTTTAAGCCGTCGGGTTGTGTCCACTGGTTGCCGTTTGGCTAGGCCACAGGGCTGCCCGCATTCTGCCGCGTTAGAATCATCGATGGGCAAATGCATTTAAAGTGCAGAATGCTTCTGACCTACCGAGCCAAAAAAATGCTCCCTGCTCCTTTTTCTGGGTAATTTTCTCCTTTAATCACCCCGAAGATGTGACACTGTAAGTATGACTGTGTTTGGCTTCCTTTGACGCTTGCGACTTTGCCACCGAGTGACGCTTTTGGTCCTGAAGTGATACTTCAGATTCTCCGTGTGCCGTCAATGCTTTGTTATAAAGAGCTTTTTTTAAAGATTGCAATAAAGGCCCTTGGAGAATAAAGCGGACTTTATTTCTTGACGTCTTAGGAATAAATGAAGCATACGTTTTCCTTTGTGTGAATGAGGGAAGGCAGTAGGTGCCTGTTTCAGTTCAGGATGTAGCTCTGTGTGTGACAAGGGGAGGACGGCTCAGAGCTCTCCGTGCTGTTAAACACTGGATGCTTCACTGGGTTTGGCTTTTCTCTCTGGTTGGCCATACCAAAGAAAAATAAGTCTGTTTGTGTGAAACAAATCTTGCCCAAGATCTTTAACAAAAGAAGTTTAGTTATAAAAGCCCTGCGTGTACACACTGGTACTTTTTGTTAGTTGCTTTTGGCTGGAGGGACGTAGCAACAACAACAAGTAGCAATGATGTTTTGAAAAGGCAGGTTGTAAGCCTAGGATGTGAGATTAAAGGGAATAGGAAACCCAAATACAGAGCTTTTAGTAGGTTGGTTCAATACGTGATGCTTTGTAAGATCTCATGACGGCATCACAGTGTGAAAAGTTGGTTTAGAATTCAGTAAAGCAGGTTGGTTCAAGGTCTTCTCCAAAGCATCCCTACTGGCATTGATATTTGATGGTTCAGTGACTCATATGTCAAGTATTTCATAGTTACAAGGAAGGAGAAAGTTTGGAAAGTAATTAATTGCTGTAGGAAATAGGGAATGAAAGGGTTTTGAGGGGAAATCTGAAAAAAATCTCTGTACTGCAAAGCCTACTACATTACAAATGCTGGGCTGTTCGTTCTCTGAAAAGCTTGACTTGGCATAATGTCAAAAATGTATTCTGGAAAACCTTATTAGTGACAGCTTAAACATGATTTGATGAATTTCTCTATAATTTTCTGTGTTTTTAGGAAAATTTAAGGGGCTGTAAGGATTTTACTGAGGGATGTATCCTGCTGTTTCTTTCATATCTGAGTGGTTTTTAAAAGTGCTTTTATGTCCTGTGTGGTTCTGTACCATATGTTTTGTATTTAATTCTTTGAGTGACCACTGAAGTGCAGCCAACATTGGGTGAATGTGGCAGCTGTTAACTAGTGCTTAGCAATGGGGCACGATGATCAAGAGGGGAAGTGAAGAAGAGTACCATGTCTAATTGAAACTACAGGGGGCGGTTAGGTAAGTAGGATGTAAGTAACAAAACCTGGAGCTTGGACGTGATATTAAGGCATCACGTCTTTACTCTTGTAAAAAGGGTGATGAAATAGTGTAGAAAACAGCTCAGCTTTTTGGTTTCAGAACTCAGTCATGTAGCCTCTTTGATTTGTTTGCATTTTGCTGGTACTTGCATGATCATTTCTTGTGCATGGCACAAAAGATGTGTTTTCCTTTGCTTCAGAAACAGAATTGTGAAGGCTGTTGAGAAGGCTGCCAATTGAAAGGGTAATAAGCCTTGACATTTTGACAATGTCTTCTAGAGAATTAGTCATGTGAACTAGACTTCATTAGAAACAATAACTGATTAAGATATCTTGGATATTCTGAAACATAATACAGTGGCAATCATAAAACGACACTAAATTTTTACCACTAATTGGCATGGTGGTTATGTTTTGTTTTGTTTTTTTTTTTAATAAGTATCACTGACTCTCCTCAAATCATGTCTTCTCATGATGTCCCTTAAAAATGTTTTTCCTAATATAGTCAGCTTTGCTTCTTTTTTTTTTAATCCCCAACCTAACCTCATCTGGTTTCATGCTTTACTCTGTGTACACTAACGTGCACATTAATGTGGTGATTTTGTCTTGTATATTGCAAACACATCCTCCTACTGAGAACTCTGAAAATACCAATTCTCTCCTTATCATGTGAAGGAAAATGAATTTTCATTTAGTCATGACTCGTTTGCAATTTTGAGCATGGTTTATATAGCTCATGGTAATGAATTTGAACTAGCAAATAGGTAGTGAAATCTACCCAAAAATAAGGAGTTATGTTGTGAAGGTGCTTATAGTGGTGAATTATCTAGTAATGTTAGACTCCTACCATTTTAATAAAATAAATGCTCAAACAAACCAAAAAAACAACCACCAAAGAAGACAACAACAAAGCCTCTGCAGAATGTCTGCTGGAGAAACCTGCAGGTGACAGAAAATTCAAACAGTGTTTATTCGTGGCAGTAGCAGCCACATTTTCTACTCTGCTATGGTTGGCTTGGGTGTCTCAAGTAGAAGTATGGAGTTCTTCTTAGAAATGACTCTAAAATATAATTACTTTTGCTTTGAGTGACTCCTGGAACTGTGTCAGCTGGTTTGTGCTGTTTTATGTGGGCACGCTGTGATGTCCAGCTTCTGTGGAATTCTTCTGGGACCTGAGGCCATTGAGAATTGTGTAGATGAGTATTTTAATCGAAATATATTTCATGTAATTCCCACTGAGCTGGCATTTTAACTTCCATAGCACTGTAGAGGTTTAATTAAAAAAAGAAAACAAAACCAAACCACACGCTGTCTGAAGACATTACAGTGGGTTTGTCGAGTGCTTTGGTTAATTTGCATTTAATCAATGTGTATATATATTTAATTGCAAATATGGTACTAAACAAAATGTTGATAAAACAGAACAGACTTTAAGAACTGTATGCGGTGACATAAAATCACCAGAACAGTGGGATAGGTAGGGAACTGCTTAAGTCAGTATGACAAGATCTATAATAGGAACCTTCATTTAATATTCCCCAGGTAAGATTTCAGAGATGTTATTCTGAAGTAGTTTTTCAAACTGATGGTGCTATGAACAACAAAACTGTGTGGGCAGGCTTAAGATACTGTTACTTAAGAGATTACCAGACATCTGTCACAGTGGTTCCATGAACAACGCTGGAGTGACTGGTTTTATAAAATGCTGTAGAAGGGTGCCCCGGTTCTTCATCTCCATCACGGTCTCCAGTAGCTCTGTTCAAGGTGTTTGGTGTGATCTGAGCAGAGCCCTCAGAGGCAAGTGAAGGTAGTTCCTGAATATAACTAGCTTTAAAATTAAAGCTCAACCGTGCATCTTGCCAAAAGTAATAGGACTTTCCTGGAACATACAGGGTGAAGTTGTTAAGGTTAGTTAGAGAAAGCTGTTCTCAATAGCTTAGTGCAGCTGGTTTCTATGCCGTGAGGAATCTGGGCACCTACCTCTTCTACACTGGAGTCACTGGTGAAAAAGGGATATTCAGATTGTGAGAAGCATTATTGTTACCTCTTAATGTAACTGATGTCTCAGGATGAGGATCAAATGCAGCAAAACCTTGTGCTGGCTGTTGGTGATCTGTGGATCTCCATAACCAGTCCTGAGTGCAGTGGCTTTCTGCTGTTGCTATATACCTTGCTACTTCTTGTTCTCTGCTTGCTGTTTCTTTGGTGTGCAGCTGCATCTCAGTCTTGCTGTTCAGGAGATCGTGCCATCTGCTTTTACTGCACCTGTTTCTGCCTCACTTAATCTCCCTGTGGCTTGTCAGCAAACCCTCCAAATTCTGTCTTCCTTTAGAGCCTTACATGGCATAAGTCTTCTCACACTTTCAGTCCATGTTGAGAATAGCCATTTTGTGAAGGAAGCTTCATCTTGTAGCTTCTTTAAACCACTTCCATGGAATCAAGTTCTTAGTTCAACTGAGAGATATTCTTGAACACCAGGAGTTGAATCTTGATTTTTCTACTGCTACCATGCCCTTCACTGCATTGATAAAAGGTTAACAGCTTCCTGCCAAGGCCAACTATGATGGATGTGACTTCTAAGAATGTGGGGGTTTCCTAGTGTTGTCAAAAATGCTTTCTAAAATTTATTTGTAGGGATAAGCTGTTCAAAAGTTGCCATTACTCTTCCTATCTTAATCTCTTTGAGGGGAAATTCTGGTCTTGAGGACAGTAAGAAATTAGATGTAGTGGGTCAGCGGTGGGTACCAGCTCACAGAGGTGCAATTTTAAAGAAGACCTAAAGGGAGAGGGCAAAGGCATCCGAGAGGACTTCAGTGCCCAGGACAGACGTATGCAGAAGCACTGCTGAAGTATTTAGAAGCAGAATAACAAGCAT